GTAGGGTTAGGCCTTTCCATTTTCAGCTTGGTTCTCTGCCTTATCATCGAGACTGTTGTCTGGCATCATGTTACAAAAACTGAAATAACCTACATGCGCCACTTTTGTTTGGTTAACATCGCTACATCCCTTCTCATTGCTGATGTTCTGTTCATTTTGGCAGCTGTCATGCACAATACAGCCCTAAACTACCAGTTGTGTGTAGCAGCCACTTTTTTCCTTCACTTTTTCTATCTTGCCTTGTTTTTTTGGATGTTTACCCTGGGCCTCTTGATTCTCTATGGATTATTGTTAATTTTTTTTAAGATAACAAGATCTGTATTAATAGCTACAGCATTCTCTATTGGCTATGGATGTCCCTTGGTCATATCTATCCTCACTGTTGCCATTACTCAACCAAAAAATGGGTATTTAAGGAGCGGTGCCTGCTGGCTCAACTGGTATGAGACGAAAGCCCTTTTGGCCTTTGTTGTCCCTGCTCTGAGCATCATTGTTGTGAATGTGGTGGTGGTGGTGGTGGTTGTGGTGCAGACTGGAAGATCCTCTGTTGGAGAAGGCTGCAAGTCACAAGATTTGAGCAACATGATCCGAATTAGCAAAAACGTGGCCCTTCTGACGCCTCTCCTGGGTCTCACCTGGGGGTTTGGATTGGCAACGATCGTTGACAGCCGCTCTCTGGCATTCCACATTACATTTGCGCTACTGAACGCCTTCCAGGTAAAATCTGCGAGGCAGGGAATGCTGTGTGCTCAGACTTTGCTGAACTTGGGAAAAGGTAGTAGACCTAAAAGGGGCTGGCAGCTTGAGCTGTGAATGAAAAACAGGATCTCAGCTTTCCTTTCAGCTTAACTATTTTACACGATGCGTGCACTAGGCATCCTGCATCGAGGTACTTGACGCAGATGGGTAATGGAACAAACTAGTTGGTGTAAAGCGTGGTGAAGAATTAAGATGACAAGTTTATGTTAAACACAAAATACACTGGTTAATGTCCAGTGATTGCAAGGATGTCTCATCCTTATCAGTTAACAAATACACAGAAAATTCTCTCTTGCCATTGAAGATGGTTTTGTTTAACTCATCAGTTATAAACATCCAAAGTTGCTTGGAATACAGTTGTATACCCAGTCTGCCTTAGCTCTTCTTGGCTAATACTGCTACTAGGTGGGTTGAGAAAGTCCTGGTATGTAACTCGTCAGTCCAGTTCATAATGAGAATTAACACGGGTTATGTATCCATTCTTGACATTCCCAGAGAGCCCGTGTGACCTGGGTGGATAACAGCAATGTGCAAAAGGAGTTTGTCTGAGTCATAGGTGATGAGATCTATCACACTGACAAAAACAGTATTTTGTCTATCCTTACGGAAATAGTGTCTAGAAGCACTTAAGAAACTTCATGTGGTTATGCTGGTTTTGTTAACTGGTTTTGCAATTTTTTAGGGATTCTTCATCCTGTTGTTTGGGACACTCCTGGACAGAAAGGTACTCGGGTCACTTCAGCACTTATTCTGGATTATACGAACATTTTCTACACTTTGATAAACTGTTCCCGTTAATTTTTTTTTTTTTTTAATCTACAGACAAGAGAAGCCTTAAGGATGAACTGCCTTTCATCAAAGCGGAGGTGTAGCCTAGCAAAGGTAAAGATTCCATCCCTCCTCTCCCCCCTCTCCCACAATGTCTTAATTTAAAATTTACACCAGTTTACACACCTTCTTATTTCTACATGGAGAGAATGGAACGATCCACTAAATCTTACCTAATTTAACATTTTTGTAAGGGAAGTGCTTACTGGAGGAAATACAGGTGTATCAAAAGTATGTTGAGGTTATGAAGCTTCTAAATATTAGAAGTGGCAATCTGTAGATTTTTATGAACTCTACATAACCTACTGCTGTTACAGAATTAAAACTGGTATTTTACTCTAATCTCTTCACCTGTAGATACCAAAGCCCTTTACACAGAGAATGGCTATGACTTTTCCCATCTGGAAAATAGATCTACTTTAAGGTTACTGACTAAGTAAGGACAGAATTAGGAGTCCAAAATCCCATTGTAATGACCTGTTTGCTGCATTCACGAAAATAGGGATCCATATGACAGCAGTGCTGCTCTAGGATGCGCGAGGTTTGTTTTGCTTCCAGCTGAACGTCAGCTTGGGATGGAAACCACTCAGAGCCTGGCCAGTGCATTTGGTGCTCATCACTGTTGTGTACTCGTAAGAGCTTGGGGTTTGGTTTGTTTTCTTTTTTTAAATATCAGGGCAATTCATTAAAAGGAAATGTTTAATCCTGGAGACAATAACTGTGTTTCACCAGCTTCCTAGGAAAACATTGACAGGATTGGTGTGTTGACACCATTGAGTTAGTGTTTCCTACCTCTGCTGGAACTTTTATCTGTTGTTAGATTTATTTTGGTACCAAGGCTTTAATGGTTTCACACTGTGTTTATAAAAGGGAATCCCCTTTAGCTGTCTCACAAGAATTGGCTGAAGTGCTCCTGATATCTGCTAAAAGAGACTTTGAAAAAATAAAGTTATTTCCTTGCTTTTCTGTAATCTATTTACTAATCAGTCCTGGTTCTAGTATCAAAAGCTGCAGAGTGTCTTTTAGTGACAATGTCTCCAAATGTAATTGGTTTATGAGGAAAAAAATAGAGGGGTTGAGGAAGCTGTACCTGCTTTCTGCTATTAGCATTGCCTGGTGTGCTTTGGGTCATTTGGTGCGAGAGAGGCTGCGTGTTCATGCAACTTCTGATTCCTCTGCATCCTTCCTCTCCAGTTCGGTCTTCAGCTGCATCCAGCTTTGCTGTTACGTGCCAACTTTAAATGCAGTGCAGAAGGTCCTCTCTTAAAACAAAACAAAAGGACCACAAAATACCCCACCCAAAACCCCCAAACAACACACACACACACACATCCCTCCCCCAACAAAACAAAACCCAAAACAAAACCCTAAGCCCCCAGAACAAACAAAAAGACCAACCCCAAAACCTCTGCTAAAATTAACTATTTCCTACCTAACAGAGGATGAAGAGAAGGGAAGTGCTTGCGACTGTGCCAAATTTAATAAACAATGATGACAATTCCTGCTTTTACAGATCAGGGATCCAAATAACAGTGAAGATGTGAAACTGTTATGAGGCTTTGGGTCAGGAGTGAAAGTCTGAAAATTAAAATTCTCTCAAGTCACCACATAATACTCTGGAAATGAGAGATGGAATTATCGCTAATCCCATGACTCGGCAACATTTACTAAAAGTATTAAGTCATCTCACTGGGCAAAACTTGATGTGGAAACCATGGCTGCATGTGCCTAAGAACTTGGGTCAATGTTGTCACTCACTGGGGTGGAAGAGACCTTGTGTAGGTGTTTACCATTGCCTAACAGAGAGGGGGAAAATGTTGGTCATCCACTTTTGTAGACTTGGGTATAAATATGGAACTCTGCTAATTAGAGCTGAAGAGTTTGTCAGAGTTGTAATGACTGTTAAAAAAAAGTCTTGTTTCAGAGAACTTCAGAATGGCATATCTGGGGTTTTAATGGTATGTAAAATTTCTAGGAGGGTTATGCAGATTCTTTCTTTAGGTCTCTTCGTTTCTCCAGACTCATAAGAGCCTTTCTTCTGGGTCAGACTATAAGATGATCATCCTGTGGCGTTCCTCTTGGGACTCTGAGGCGCCTCCTGTTTGAAATGGAACCTCCACCTACACGGATGGTATATCCAATCTGACCTGTTGATTTCTCTTCTAGTCGTAGCAGGGGACAGTTGTCTTCAGTGGATCTGACCAGGGAGAGGAAAAGGAGCGCTTCTTACACAGAAATCCTGGTTTGAGATGAGCCGGGGTGGCTGAGCAGCTCGGAGCATGGACGGCACTGTCTTGGAGCACAATCACAGGAACCATCATAAAAACCAGAAGAGAAAAGGCCCTGAACCTGCTGTCAGGAGCAGGAAACCATCAGTGTTCCTGCCTGCAACCCTTGGAGGAAACACACCGATATATAAAGGTTGTTTCTCATCTTTGTGAAAACTGCTGTGAGGAGAGCTTGTCCTCGTTTGCCATTTCAGTGCTTCAATTTCCTACTTTTTTTCATGTCAGTGCAATAAGGAACTGTAAAGCTTGGGGGGACTGTTCTAAAATTATTTAATTTTTAACATGATGTACAAATATTGAGCATTATCTAGCTGGTTTTGCCTGTCTTTGGTCACGAGTGTTTCTGTTAGGTGACACCATATTCCTCATTTCCATCTGTCCTCCCAGACTGGTGGACAACATTAACTCATTTCTGCATTACAGCTGTTGTCTCCACCTCAATATGTGTTCTCTCCATCTCAGTACTTGTGTGTCAGAGGAATTGTACAAAGCCCTTTTTTGGTCTGTCAGGACAGAATTTTCATTCCTTTTCCAGTCCTGCAAGACAATGACAGAGATAAACAAGAAGAAGCACTCTTCTAATAATTAGTTTCCCTCTTTAGATGTAGGAAAGCAAGCCTTGAATATGCTTCAGAGTTGCATCAAGTGGATGGAGATATCCTGTGTCCCTTGGAACATGCTAACATGTTCATCCATGTGAGATTGGTCTGTCTGGTTTCATTAGAAAATCAGTCCTTGGTCTGAGAAACCCTTTCTAATGAAAGCTTTGATAGAAACGTTGTTGTATCTTGTCAGGACAAATCGATGTTTTCAAATGGAAATAAAGTTGAAAATTTTGTCATTGTTTCTAATAAGTGGTCCTTCTCCTCCTCTACCAAAAAAATAGATTAAATGCTCTTTAATGTTAGCTGGTATTACTCAAGTCAGAAATCATTCATCCCCCTGTGGCTTCACATACATTTGAAATATAAAGATATAATCAAAATAATACTGTTTTCTATCATCAGCACCCTTTTATTAAGAGTGAGAAAAATACCCTGGAAACCACTATGGGAAAACGCCCAGCCTGATGTCTCAGGGGACAAGCTGGGGCTCTGGAGGGGGTGATCCGGAGGGCAGAGCTCTGGCCTGGGCCGTGAGACAGTTCTTCTCGTCCCCAGGACTCTCTTACTTCCTTGCATTTTCCTCCCCTATTTTCTCTCCACGTAGACTGCAGTCTTTTATTATAAGAGACTATCCCTGCTCCTTCTGTACTGTGGATTTGCATGCTGGAGAGCTTTTGATCAGATTGAGATAAAATTGGGCTTATGTGCTGCTCTAGCATGAATTTCAAAAGACCGTTACCCCAAACTCTGCTTCTTAGTGTCGAGCAGCATAGAATTGTTTAGGTTGGAAAAGACCTTTAAGATCATCACGTCCAACCCCTCTACGTTTTCTGCCCCTCTACTCAGCTCTTTCTGCCCCTCTACTCAGCTCTGGTGAGACCTCACCTGGAGTACTGCGTCCAGCTCTGGAGCCCTCAGCACAAGAAGGACATGGAACTGTTGGAACGGGCCCAGAGGAGGGCTACAAAAATGATCCGAGGGCTGGAGCACCTCTCCTATGAGGACAGGCTGAGAGAGTTGGGGTTATTCAGCCTGGAGAAGAGAAGGCTGGGGGGAGACCTGATTGCGGCCTTTCAGTACCTAAAGGGGGCCTATAGGAAAGATGGGGAACGTCTTTTTAGTAGGGCCAGCTGTGTTAGGACAAGGG